GTAATTCACATAAAGACTCCATGTGGGCTAGCAGGCATGTGAAATGTCTCCAGTGCAGCAACAGCTGTAGAACTAAGAAGTTATCTTTTCCCTGTCTTCTCGTACTCTTCATTTCACTTGGGTTTTTTAGCAGTTCAGGAAGCTGGAATGTTTGAATGGGCTTTAGCTTGACACCTTCTTCTCTTTCCCATTTGGCAGATAATACCACTAGTCTGACCGATAAACACCTGGACCCAATCAGGGAAAATCTGGGAAAGCACTGGAAAAACTGTGCCCGGAAACTGGGCTTCACACAGTCTCAGATTGATGAAATTGACCATGACTATGAGCGAGATGGACTAAAAGAAAAGGTTTACCAGATGCTCCAAAAGTGGGTGATGAGGGAAGGCATTAAGGGAGCCACAGTGGGGAAGCTGGCCCAGGTGCTCCACCAGTGTGCCAGGATCGACCTTCTGCACCACTTGATTTACGTCAGCCAGAACTAACCCTGGATGGGCTATGGCAGCTGAAGCGGACTCCTCACTTAGTTAATAACCCCAGAAAGTTGGCTGCCTCGGAGCATTCAGAATTCTGTCCTCACTGATGGGGGTTCTGTGTCTGCAGAAATATTGTTTCCTGTATTTCATAGCCAGGGAATGGGGAAAGAAGTCTGCGGCAAAGGGGTCTCACTCTGTTGCCCACGCTGGTCTCAAACTTCTGGACTCAAGTGATCCTCCTGCCTCGGCCTCTCACAGTGCTGGGATATCAGGCATGAGCCACTGCGCCCAGCCAACAATCCGCTCCGAGGAAAGCATAAGCAGGAAGACCTCTTAATGGCCTAGCACCAATCAAAAAATGACTCCTAATTGGGTTTGGAAAGGGAGAGAAGAGATGTCTGAGGAAGGTCATTTTCTTTCAGCTTATGGCATTTCCTAGAATTTTGCTGAAGCAAGAAGAAAAACTCAGAGAACATAAAATCAACTTTTAAAATTGTGTGCTGTCTTCTTCACGTAGGCTCCTGTTATGAACAAAGTACAGTAAAATTCTAAGCCCTGTTCAGAGACTTTTTGAATCACAACTGCAGCTCATTGCCACGTTACAGAGTCTGTTAACATGGATATCAAATACCGTATCAGTCACTATAGGCTCTAAGAATCACATGCAGTCTTCACTCCATTAAATTATCGATTTTTTTTAAATTAATTGAATTTATATTCAGTTTTCAAATTAACCGAACAGATTTAAAGGGGTACCAAGGAGGGGGGAAACATCAGATCTCCCAGACAGTTGTTGCAAGGAATTGCTACTAACTGTGACTACAGCAGAAATTCTTGATTGACTTTGAAAGTTACTTCCTGGCATTCTGGTACTTTCACCCAGCCTGGGTGCCCTGGAGAGGGAACAGGAAGTGCTGATCTCTACGCCTGGGTGAGAGCAGAACCTCAGGGCTGACACTGTTGAGTGGCTTCCTCGGTTTACTCTGTACCGTGAAAGTATTTTCATATTTTTCTGTGTGCCAGAGTGAAAAAGGACAACTCCTGACTGTGGGAATTGTGCCTGTAGTACCCAACCTTTCAAAGTCCACCTGAAACCTGGGGGTGGATGAAAGAACTAAAATAGTTCAGAAGACTGAAGCTGGGTGGGCCGCTCAGCGTCTCCACTGGCATTTTGCTAAACAGACAGGGAAGGCCGTGTGCTTAGCTCTCCCCAGAGGGAGGACGAGAAGGGTGTGGTGATGGTCAGTCTGGCTGTCGGAACGGATTCTGGTGTCTTGGGCTGATAACAGTGTTGTTGATTCTGACTGTGAACCCCCTCAACTCTAGCAGACACATACACGCCCCTGAAACGGGGCTGCAGAGCAAGCTCTCAGCCTTGGCACTGTCGGCGTCTCGGGCTGGGTAATTCTCTGTTGTGGGGACTGTCTTGTGCCTTGTACGATGTTTGGCAGCATCCCTGCCCCTACCTACTAGATGCCAGGGGCACTGTTCTCCCGTCGTCCCTCCCCCAGTTGTGACAACAATGTCTCTAAACATTGTCAAATGGTCCTAGGAAAGGAGAAAATTGCCCCGGTTGAGAAGAGCACTGCTGTAAAGTAATGAGCCTCGGCTCTCCTGTCCACACCTGTCCGGTTACTACTTGGCCGCCATGCAGCCTTGGATCCTACAGCCCAAAAGGGAAAATGGAGGGAGGGTCCAGGCTTTGCTGGAGGGGCCTGGGTGAGTTCCGTTTGCTCCTTGTACCACCATCCAAATGGTGTTCTGAAATCTCTTAGAGTCTAAAGAGGCTGAATAATTAATATTGAAAGGCAAGAGGGCGAGGCATTTTTTAATACACTTTTTAAAATTTTATACCGCAACTACAGGCTACTGATGTGATGTGTGTGTCACTGGGACAGATGGGGGTTCTCCATGGTGCCTCTGCCACGGAGGCTGCCTTTCCTGAGCATAATCCCCTTTTACCCTCCTGCTGCCAAGCAGGAGACGGGATGCTGATGGTGAGAAGAACACCTCCCTGCCGGTGCCTTTTGGCCCTCAGGAGGAGAGGCCTGCAGCAGCACTGCTGTCCCTGCGCCTGGCTCTGGGGCCTTCCCTTCACCCCCACTCTCTCAGCACCATGGTGGGAAGAACCAGCTTTGCCTGTGAGGAGTTACGTACAAGGCCCAAGCTCCACAAGAACACTGCTGTTAACAGGCAGAGCCAAGTAAGCAGGACGACACAGAGCAGCAAAGGAGAACCGAGACTGTCGGTTCGGAAACAGACATTCACACCCTAGGTTATTACTGGTTATAGAGACCTGCTTCCAGCTCCCACAGTCCTGCTTGGTAGATTTTCCACTTGTTGCTACAATCATCATCTTTGCTTTGGGTCTGTCATGTGAAGTTAGGGTTTCAGGAATAAAATGTTTAATCACAAAATGTTTTAGGCAGTATTTTGAGGTACATTTTAATGTGGTATTTATGAAAGGAAAAGCGTTTTCTAAGTATAATAAAGGCATAAATAAAAACAGGAGTGTAAATCTTCGAGATCTTAGAAGCAGCTGATTTCAGAGAAATCACTGAAAGGTTAATGCTACTACAGTGATTTTTACAATATGTAATAATCCAAGTATACGACCAGGTATCGTGGCTCATGCTGGTAATCCCAGCACTTTGGGAGGCCAAGCTGAGAGGATTGCTTGAGGCCATGAGTTGGAGACCAGCATAAAACAACATAGCAAGACCCTATCTCCACAAAAACATAAAAAAAAAAAAAATTAGCCAGGTGTGGTGGTGTATGCCTGTAGGCCTAGCTTCTTGGGAGGCTAAGGTGGACGGATCACTTGAGCCCAGGAGTTTGAGGCTGTGGGGAGCTGTGATCACACCATGTCTCAATCATCATCATCATCATCCAAGTATAGAGTCCTGAAACTGAGGGCCCAAAACTCCCCTCTGCCACTTTTCAGCTGTGTCACCCGGGCTTGCTTCCTAACCTTTCACCATCATTATCCAAGTATAGAGTCCTGAAATTGAGCAGCTCAAAATTACTTTTCAGCTGTGTCACCGCGGGCTTGCTTCCTAACCTTTCTTAGCCTCAGATGCCTCATCTATAAATGGGGAGTGCAATAGCACAAAAGGTTGATGTGAAGATTAAAGAAATATGCATCATAAGATGCGTGGCACAAAAATGGCAGTTTTTTAAACTGCACGATCTTGCTGTATATAAAGAACTGGTTGTCAGGTATGTTACTTAAAAATAGTGACACCAGGCTGGGCGCGGTGGCTCACACCTGTAATCCCACTTTGGGAGGCTGAGGCGGGTGGATCATCTGAGGTCAGGAGTTCAAGACCAGCCTGGCCAACACGGCAAAACCTCGTCTCTACTAAAATTACAAAAATTAGCCTGGCATGGTGGTGGGTGCTTGTAATTCCAGCTACTCGGGAGGCTGAGGCAGGAGAATCGCTTGAACCCGGGAGGCAGAGGTGGCAGTGAGCTGAGATCGCGCCATTGCACTCCAGCCTCGGCAACAAGAGTGAAACTCCATCTCAAAAAAAAAAAAGAAAAAGAAAAAGTGACACCAAAAACCTAAAAACTCAATGCTACTGTTTTGCTTAGCACTAGGGTAACTGGTGTTGAAACTGTACAGACAGCTATTTTTATCATTTCTGAGATGAAACCCCAATCAACATATCAGGAAAAAAGGAAATACTGACCTCACCAAAGATTGCTGAAAGTCAAATGATTAAATTCGACTCAAACATTATATATGTCTCTCTCCTTTTATTCAGGAATTAATGCGATAGAGTTATGTTGAGAGTAGAATATGAAAACTTTTGCATAGTCTGTATTTAGGCCAAAACTGCCTTTACTACTCAAGAAACTCCAAAGGGCCAGTGAGGACACTGCAGGTGGCAGACATTTCCATGAGTAACACCTACAAGCACCGTGCCCACAGGACTTACTGACACCAAAAAGGTCTCTTGGAGGGACAGTCATGCAATATGCAAAGAAGCTGTTGTCTCCAATTATTCAAGCCAAGGCTACAACAGTAGCCACAAATCTGCCAGTTATTTCCAATTAAGGCAGAACGATAGACTTAAAGCAATAGTGGTTTTTTTCTCCACTGAGCTTTCAATTAATGTCTATAACATTTATAAAGCTGGAATTATATAGTCAAAGCAAAAAACATTAAGTGTGGTAAAACATACATAAAATTACCACTTAAACCACTTTTAGGTGTATAGTTCAGTGGCATTAAGTACACTCACAATGTTATGCAGCCATCACGAAAATCCATCTCCCCAAACTGAAACACTGTCCCAAGGAAACACCAACTTTCCATTCCCACTTCCACCAGCCCCCGACGACCTCCACTGTATGTTCTGTCCCTAGAAGTCTGACTCCTCTAGGCACCTTATTATATAAGTGGAATCACACAGTATTTGTCTTTTTGTGACTGGCTTACCTCCCTCAGCATAGTGCCCTCCAGATTCATGTAATAGCATGTGTCAGAATTTCGTTCTTTGTTCAGGCTAAAAAATGCTCCATTGCACGCACAGGCAACATTTTGTTTATCCATGTATCTGTTTTTGGACACTTAAATTGCTTCCACTCTTTGGGCTATTGTGAATAGTGCTGCTGTAAACATGAGTGTAAAAACATGTCTTCTTGTACACACTGTTTTAAATTCTTTTGGGTTATATACCCAGGAAAGAAAATACTGGATCATATAACTGATTTTCTGAGGAACGACAGTACTGTTCATCACAGTGGCTGCTCCATTTTACATTCCCAACAGCAATATACAAGGGCTTCAATTTCTCTACATCTACACCAACAATAATTTCTGGGGGTTTTGCTAGCAGCCGTCCTAATGGGTGTGAAGTT